CAGCAGTGTGAGTCATCACTGCCTTGTCCAGCGTGATTTAGTGATAAAGCCTGTGGCTGAACCCAGGACCTCTGACATGCGGTCAAATGCACTTTCAATAAATCTGTTTCTACTCTAAAAGATGGTTTAAACTAAATACATGGTGTGACTGCATGTCAGAGTTATGGTTGAGTGTAGCCAAGTAAATTAACACTGAATCTTCCTTATCTATTTTAACTTGTATAATTATCATAATGAATGATTATCATAATATGATGAATAAGGAAGACTGAAGAAGAATTGATGCCTTTGAATTATGGTGTTGTCAAAGAATGTTGAATATACCGTGGGCCGCCAAAAGAACGAAAAAAATCTGTCTTGGAAGAAGTACAGCCAAAATGCTCCTTAGAAGCAAGGATGGCAAGACTTCATCTCACATACTTTGGACTTGTTATCAGGAGGGATCAGTCCCTGGAGAAGGACATCATGCTTGTTAGAGTAGAGGGTCATCGAAAAAGAGGAAGAGCCTCAACGAGATTGATTGACACAGTGGCCACAACAGTAGGCTCAAGCATATCAACGATTGTGAGGATGGTGCAGGACCAGACAGTGTTTCATTCTGTTGTACATAGGGTACCCATGAGTCGGAACCGAACTGACTGGATGGCACCTAACAACAACAATAATTATCATAAACACAATCTACAGTATAAACTTTGTTTGTTGTCGTTAGGTGCCATCCAGTCCATTTTGATTCATAGCAACGCCATGTGACAGAGTAGAACTGCCCCCTAGGGTTTTCTAGGCTGTAATCTTTATAAAAAGAGATTGCCAGGCCTTTCTTCCATGGTGTCACTGGGTGGATTCAAACCACCAATGCTTAACAGTTTTGCCACCAGGGCTCCTTAGTATAAACTTGTAGAGGGAAGATTTTGCCAAACTTCAATCGACAATATGGGAACAAAAAGGTTTGGGAGAATGAAGGGGGTGAGGCATAAAGAATTTTTTAATTTAGGAATTAGAATGACTTATAGGATGGTGCTGATATGGAAAGGTGGGGAAATCTTTGGAAAGCTATTGTTAATGTTAGTTGCCATTGAGTAGGCTCCAACTCCTAGCAACCTTATATATAACAGAACGAAGCGTTGCCTGGTCCTGTGCCATCTTCATGATGATACATTTGAGTCCATTGTTTCGGCTATTGTGTCAATCCATGTCCTTGAAGGTTTCCCTCATTTTCACTGACCCTCTACTTTTCCTGATGACATGTCTAAAGTAAGCAAGTTGAATTCTCGCCATTCTCACTTCTAAGGAGCACTTTGGCTGTATTTCTTCTAAGATTGATTTGTTCGTTCTTCTGGTAGTCCATGACAGTGTAGTCAATATGCTTTGCCAACACAATTCAAATGCATCAGTTCTTCTTCAGTCTTCCTTTTTCATTGTCCAACTTTTGCATGCATATGAGGCAATTGAGAAGACCATGGCTTGGGTCAGGTGCACCTTAGTCATCAAAGTGACATTTTTCCTTTTTAAAACTTCAATAAGGTCTTTTGCAGCAGATTTTCCCAATGCAATATGTCTGGTTTCTTGACTGCAGCTTCCATGGACATTGATCGTTGATAGAATAGAAAGCTATTGTTGTGTGCTGTCGAGTCAATTCCAACTCATGGCAACCCTATAAGACAGAGTAAAAACTGCCCCACAGGGATTTCAAGGCTGTAACTTTTTAAGGACGCTGACCATCAAATCTTTCTCCCGAAGAGCGGCTGGTGGGTTTGAACCACCGACTATTCAGTTAGCAGCTGAGTGCTTAAGCATTGCACCACCAGGGCTCCTTTATAGAAAGCTATAGCTACCTCTAATTTAATGGAAATCATACTATGCTTGGCTCGGGTTCAAGTTCCTGTCCAGGATATGAGGCTTAACCTTCCTAAACTTAAATTTCCTTATCTGCAAAAAAGAGATTATAATAAGTGCCTTATAAATATTAAAGGGTTCTGTTAAAGTAAGTTTTTTTTTCATTCTGAGAGGCTTCTGTGAGTAGAGAGAGGGAGGAACCACTGACTGGAAAAGGGACTGAGGTTATAGAAAATGAAAAGTGAGGCTGCAAAACAACTCTCTTTCACATTTTACCTGGACACAGCCCTGTTTCTACGGCTGGTCTCAGAGACCTGCCACTTCTTGGTATCTCCTGGGGTAAGGCTGCTGAATGGAGAATCAACATAAGACCCATCCTTTGAGAACTGACCCTTCTGCAGAAGTGCAGCTAGGTGGGCTGGGCCTGAGGAAAGAAGACCACCCAGGAGAGTAAGGGGGTCCTTGGGTGGTGCAAATGGTCAAGCATTATACTTGAGTACTAACCAAAAGGTTGGCGATTTGAACCTACCCAGAGGTGCCTCAGAAGACAGGCCTGGTGAGTGCCTCTGAAAGATCACAGCCCTGAAAACCCTAGGGAGCACAGTTCTAGTTTGACACACGTGCTGTTGCCGTGAGTTGGAGTCAACAGAAACGGGTTTTTTTTTTTTTTCTTTTTTGGTTTTTAGGAGAGTAAGCAAGAATGGGAGCCCTGGTGGTGAGTGGTTAAGAGCTGGGCTGCTAACCAAAAGGTTGGCAGTTCAAATCCACCAGCCTGCTGCCTCAGCCTTCAGCTAAACTAGTTGCCACCAAGCTGGCTTCAACTCATGGCGACCCCATGTGTGTCAGAGTAGAACTGGGCTCCACAGCATTTTCAATTGCTGATTTTTCAAAAGTAGATCAATCACAAGGCCTTAAAGGTTAGCAGCCAATCTCGTTAACCATTTACACTACACAGGGATTCTAGCTAGCCCCCGTAAATAACGTGCCTCCTCCTCTGCTTGACCCAGGAGCTAGATACCTGTTGACTCCTGCATATCGGTGTCTGAATGAGGTGGACTGTGGTCTTTTATGAACTAATCAAAGGGTGATTTATTCGCCTTATATACCAGAGGTGTGAGTTGTACAAAGGAACAAGAACCCATGTGAACCTTTTCATTCCACAGCAAACAATAGTCACATTTTTAAATGTACTTCTTATGCAGTCCCATTCAGAGCTTTGCCTCACCCTGAAGGTTTGGTCCTAAGGTCGGGCCTTGCTCATTTTAACATTGCCTGTTGGGTTTGAGCCTGGAGACCTTCTGTAAAGTCCCAAAAGGCCAGAGGTGAAGGCCAAGAGCATTCACTGTATGTGCTTCCTATAGAAGCTTCGAACCCTCCCACTCCCCCACTACACACACACATAAAATCAAATTTTAAGTTTCACCTGGTACGAGGAGAAGCACAAGAAATGGTGATGATGATGATAACCAGTGAAGTTAAGTTAAAACAAATTTCACTGTGTACCTATGCTATTTTTTACCTTAACTGTAAATTTTACGGAGTCCCTAGGTGGTGCAAATGGTTAATGTGCTCAGCTGGTAACCAAAACGTTAGAGGTTCGACTCCACCCAGAGGCACCTTGGAAGAAAGGCCTGATGATCCACTACCAAAAAATCAGCCATTGGAAACTCTATGGAGCACAGTTCTACTCTGACACACATGGGGTCACCATGAGTCAGAGTCGACTCAATGGCAACTGGTTTTATAAATTTTATATTTCATTATGTATGCACAGTAAGTTGTGATTTCCTTCTCTATTAGCTTTTTAATCAGAGATTTACAGTTTTTTAAAATCCCCCAACCCCTGACTCCATGTTTTATTAACATCGAGTTATTTGTAGCTTGTTGGCTCCTGGAGTCGTTAGTCAGGGGCCATATGTCTTCAAGGCAGCCACGTCACAGTGCAGACCTGGTGCCTAGGGCACACCCTTACAAAAAGACAGGAAATATGTCACTTGAAAAAGAAAAATTCATCAATATGTTTTACAAAAACATTTATTTCATTATGGTTTTTCAAAAAAGAAGTTTCAAATATGAGGGTTTTGTTTTTAGCCCAGAGTTGGTATCCTACAAGAGGTCCTAATCTTTTAGAATGCAAACATTTAAGCATAGACTCCCTCAGTGGATGATGGCAGGTAGTATGTTAACAAGGTGTCTGGTGTCCCAGAGAGCCTGAATATAGTTGTTAGACTTTCGAAAACTGGATTCCAGATTCATAGACAACTGATGGAAAATAATCTCAAATGGCAGATTAGACTCCCCAATCAACTTTGTTTTTGAAGTCCTTCAAAACATAGTTTACATCTCACCTTTTATATCCACTCCTCCCCTAAATTTGATAGGCCTAAAAAGGAAGTTTCCCTTTTACCTTACTCTCATAATAAATTCATCCCGATTTTCTTCTGATTATAACTCCATATGGTATCTCTGTCCAGTAACTTTTTTGCTCTCTCATAGCTCATTTAACATTTGTAGAAGGAAAATGTTGTTTTTGTTGTTAGGTGCCTCCAAGTCGATTTTCGACTCATGGCGACCCCACGTGACAGAGTAGAACTGCTGCATAAGGTTTTCTAGGCTGTAATCTTTATGGAAGTAGATCTCCAGGTTTTTTCCCCACATAGCCCCCGGGTGGGTTCAAACCACCAACCTTGTAGTTAGCAGCCTAGTGTTTAACCAGTGCGCCACCAGGGTGCCTTAGGAAGAAAATAGTGATAATGAAATATTAGATGGTGAGCTCTTTGAAAACAGTTTTCCTCATTCATCTTTGCATGAGTCTGGCAAATGGTTAATTAAACAAATATTTGCTGAACTGAATGGCAATTAAAACCTAAGGGAGAAAATGAGCAAAATGTTTTTTAGCTTTCTGGGCTGTCTCATTGTCACCAGCTTAAAACTGATTAGTCACTAAATAGAATAAACATGTTCATTTTCTTTCTCCCTGAAACACAGATGGCCCCTTAGAGCACTTAACATGATATCAAAACGCTCTTCCCAAAGTCACACACACGAAAAGGATTCTTCAGGTAATGGGAATGAAGGAAACTACTAAATAAATTGTCAGAAACAATCCAAAAGTGTTCAAAAAAAGAAAAAGAAGGAAAGAAACAGTGCAAGTATTTTTCAATTTATTCTTGGAAAGACAGTAATTTTCATAAAAACAGTTTTAGGCATTAACTTTCCTATTCTCACCTTTGTATGATTATTGCAGTAATTACAGCAATCAATGTCGTAAACTCACCTAATGACTTCGTCATTAGGCTAATTCTGGTGGATGGTGAGGCAAGTTTATAAACCATCTCCGTCACGATCTGGTGAACAGTAGGAAGCCCGTGAAAGTGGTGTCATCATCTTCATCTGCAAACAAGCCATTAAACCTCTCTCGTCCTGTCACCTGCATCCATACCTCATCCCCAAGCTTCAGCTCCAAAACCATGCCCCCAGACGCCTGGTCCTCAGAGCCCATATAACCGTCCTTGGTGTGCAGAACTTTCACCCCATTTTTGACCAAAGACACCTGCACGTTCCTGGAGAACACCGTGATGTGGTAGGTGAAGTAATAGACTCCGGCAATGTGGCAGGTGAACTTCCCAGTGGCTACGTTGTAGTGGTGGAATTCGTTGTATAGGATCCTATCAAATTTGATGGGTAAATCTGAAGAAGGAAACTTGCTCAACACTGTGAGCCCCACAGTGAAGGCACTTTTTGGCAACACGGGAGTCTCACCAATTTTCCCTTTTTCTCCTCGATCTCCTTTCCAGCCTCTCATTCCTCGGTCTCCTGGCTCGCCCTGGGGCCCTATGGGCCCAGTGTCTCCCCTGGGACCAGGCTTTCCCATGGGGCCAACAGGGCCACGTAAGCCAGTTGGGCCCAAAGGCCCAGGATTGCCCTGTAAGCCTTCTGGCCCAGTGGGCCCCACTTCACCCTTACTCCCTTTTTGCCCTTGAGGGCCTGTCTCTCCTTTGAAGCCTTTCTCTCCCATAGGACCAACAAATCCCTTTGGCCCATGCTTCCCTGGGGGTCCTCTTGAGCCTGGTTCACCTTTGATGCCTTTTGCCTCAACTTTTCCATCTGCTCCTAAATAAAGAAAGGGGGAATAAAGGAAGAGATGACTATGAAACATAACCTTGTGGAAAACAACTTCTGTTTTTCTATTGTTGAACATATGAAGGAGACAAAGTAGTACACATGTCTTAGGCTGGGTTCTCTACAGAAGCAAAACCAGTGAAGCATATATATATATATATATATA